CTATGGTGCAGTACCATATTGTGTAGATGCAGCAGGGGGCAGTATTGGACCAATACAAGGCTCCATTGTCTGCCATTATAATTTATTAAACATTAATATTTCAAAAACTATAAGTTGTACAGGCACAAAAAGGCATAGCCATTATTTGGCACAGGACCTTTACAGATATAAATTACAATGGCAGCTCTAGGACAAAGTATGCAGGAGGAGAAGCATGGCAAAGTTGAGATGACTTGCATGGGAAACAAATCACAATAGTGTGCATTGCAATGGCAATGCACACTGAATAGAGCTGAATGTCATCTGCATAAAAATGAAAAGATACATCATATTTCCTGAAAATGGACCCCAGAGGAAGCAAATAAATAGAAAACAAAATGGGGCCCAATATTGAGCCTTGGGGAACCCCGCATCCGTTTCTGGATCTTCAGGAGAAAAATCTTTAAACTAGAGGATATTTTGATACAAAATCTTTTCCCAGAATTTTTCCAAAATCGTTTTTCAGTTTTAAAATAGTTTAACAGTAAGTTGTTTTTTTTTAAATCCCTGGAACCGTCTTTTCTTCTCCTGCAGCTCAGTCAGAGGCCGACGGTGGAGGAGCTGAGGGAGGCGAAGATCCTCATCCGCTTCAGCGACTACGTGGAGGTGGCCGAGGCTCAGGACTACGACCGGAGGGCCGACAAGCCGTGGACCCGGCTGACGGCTGCCGATAAGGTCCGTCTGACCCGAACTGCAACAGAAATACACAAACTCTGGAGTCTGATTGTTTTGTTCTTGCAGGCCGCTATCAGGAAAGAGCTGAACGAGTTTAAGAGCACAGAGATGGAGGTTCACGAGTCGAGTCGTCATTTCACCAGGTCTGACTCTTCTTCCCTTTRCTCCATACAGAGCTGAAGGTTTACAAACTGAGATTAGCCACGCAGGCTAAGTAGCACATGGCTAACTCCGGCTGATCCGTTCTTTCACCTCGCTGCAGGTTTCACCGGCCGTAAAGCAGCACCTCGGTCCTGCTACCGCTAACCTGCCGCCGCCGCGCTGCGAGTCGGCGTCGACCTGAACGCACAGGTGTGAGACGGAAAGCTCTTCAGGTGGAAGAAACTCCGAGCTGTGGTCTTCCCTAAAGAGGGGAACTTTAAAGACTTCTTGATATTCAAAAGCTTTTAACTGTTTTTTTATTTGTTACGACGGAAATGAGTTTTATTTCCTTTGAAACGAAAAGGCCAACGGAGATCAGCACAATCTGTGCCAAGTTCACGGTCTGGTTTTTACTCTCAACTGGACGATACCAAAACCCTGGGGTGGGGGTGGAGGCATTGTGTTGGTTTTATTTTTGAGATGACATCACCATTGTTACTTACACCAGGCTCACACGACAAGATTTTATAATTGTCGGTTGATTTGTAAAACCTGAGACCACAAACATAACGATAAAAAACAGGTGTGTATGGAGTTAAATACGGGCCATAAATTTTGTAAAAAAAAAATTTTGAAACTGAAAAAAAAATTATACTGGAAAAGAAATTATTTGTGAAAAGATTTTCAATAAAAAAAAATTTAAACTGAAAACAAAAAGTTTGAAAAAAACTTGTCAGATTCTATTGAAGTTTTTTCAGTTTCAAACGTCCGGCCCTATTTTGTCACGGGGGCGGGGCCTCAGTTGACAGGGGGTGTGGCATCATGACTGACAGCTCAATACAGCGGCACAGAATTTGGATGGTTCCTAAATGCAACAGCCGGGAATATTTCACTGAGCTGCTGTATTGATCTGTCAGTCATGATGCCACACCCACTTCCATCTGAGGCCCCGCCTCCACAACAAAACACGGCCAGAAGTTTTTAACTGGGAAACTTAAAAAAATAAATAAATAAATAGAATCTGACAAGTTCAGAACAAATTTTCAGTTTCAAAATTTTTGTTCAGTTTCAAAAATTAAAATTATTTTTTTAAGCAAACTTTATGGCATCAATTTAGCTCCACAGATTGTCCAACAGTKTGTAGCGTTCAGGGACACCAACAGATTTCACTCATGACCGTTCAGATGCCTGACGTCTGGAGATCAAATGAGTTCAGAGCAAACATGGCCGACGAGGAAGAAGCAATGAYAAGTTTGTGAACTATTTACAAAACCAAAAGACGTCTCCAATGATTTGGACCGCCTGTATCCAGGATCTGGTTCTGCTGGTCCCTCAGAGTCCGGGAGGGCAGGAACATAGAGCTTCTCCTYGCAGAAACACATCGATTTACTGAGCAATAGTTTTATTTTGTCGTTTTTATTTTTCCATCCGTGTGGCGTTCAGGAGCTCCGACTCTTCTGAGATCTGAGGACCCTGAACGCATCGCGAGCCGTTAAATGATCTTATTTAAAGCTGCAGAAAAAGGTCAGGGAAACAGTTTTTTTTTTGATACACGTTTCTTAATTTTCAGTACAGAACATGAAAAAGCTGCCACCTAACTTAGTTTTACTGTTTACATCTGTTTCATAAACACTTTTGGGGATTTACTGGTGTGTGACAGAGCGTGTGTGAGAAAATATTCAACAGGATGTGAGGAACTGAGAGGATTTTCAAATGTTTTTTGTAAACTWAAAAAGCTGCATGTATTGATTTATCGTGAGTCTTCTATGATGTCTGGAATTTCTGGAGGAAAATAAACTTATTTAATAAAATATTTGAAAACGTTTGTGTTTCTCTGATGGATTCTGGGTAACCGTCTCACCTCAGGCCTCTACACGGCGTGGTTTGGATTCCCGCAGTACTTCTGCCACAAGTCGATGGCTTTGGTGACGATGGCGTCGGTGTTCTCCTGCGGGATCTGGAAGAAACGCGGCGTCGGACTTTTACACAGAAACCACAACGAAAGAGAAATTCTGACGCCTGCTCCCTTCTGGTTTTTTAATTAGCAACAAACAAAAACTCCTGAACAGGGACTTTCCCGCCGTTTACTCACGTTACGCAGGAACTTGGCCACGCCCTCCGGTCGGCTGATGCCCATCAGCATGATCTTGTAGCTGAGGAGGATCTCCAACGCCACGAACACCAGGATCTTACAGGAGCCGCTGATCACTTTATCCCACACCCTGAAGAAAGATAAACGGGTTTTTAAAAAGTCCTAAACCTCTAAAATCTGAGGCCTGAGGAGGCTCAACAAATCCAGAATCTTTAAAAGATCTGGATTATAAAAACTAAGCCTAATCTCTGTTACTGTGGTTAAAAAACAAATGTGTGGTTGTGTTGAACAGAGGCAGGGAATTCAGTTCACTTTATGGACTCAAGTTAATCTGAATCATTTATTAAAGTGATTCGGTTCAAATAAATCACTGTGGTCATTCACACTAATGAGTCTGCAGTTCTGTGAGGCTCTAACTTGAATCAGTGAATCGATGCATGTAAGTTTGCAGCAATTTCTGAGTTTTTAACTCGAATCCGTGAATCAATTCATGTAAGTCTGCAACAATTTCTGTTTTTAACTCGAATCAGTGAATCGATTCATGTAAGTCTGCAGCAATTTCTGAGTTTTTAACATGAATCATTTTTCCTGACGATCTTGGTCCTTTGGCTTCATACAGCTGCTCTGCGGTCAGAAATTTGGGTTGCATTTTTAATAATGTGTTTAAATTGGACAAACAGATAAACTCAGTGGTAAAATCGAGTTTTTTCCAACTAAGACTTRTTGCTAAGGTGAAGCCATACCTCCCAAACAAAGACCTTGAGAAAGTGATTCATGCTCTCATTACATCTCGTTTGGATTATTATAATTCTTTGTATGTTGGTTTAGATCAGGGGTACTCAATTAAAATTTAAAGAGGTCCAGTCAGAGAACATTTTATGAGACCAAGGTCCGGAAGATCAAAATGTCAGACTGATATATGTGTGTGCGTTTGTGTGTAGCTATTGTTGTATCAACATCTGCATACATTGAAATTTATTCACTCTTATTCAAAAACTTACAATATTTATTGTCACGAAGCACAAAGTTGAACATGTACGTCTGATTTCTGATGTTCTCATTTACTGA